GGGAGCAACACAGTTAAATAGAGGTCAGATACTCCCCACAGACATATTGAGATGCTTAATACACACACACACACACACACACATACGCACACACACACGCACGCACGCTCACGCACACACACTTCTCTATTTGATGCACAGCTCCCCTATAGAGACAACTACACACACACACTTCTCTATTTGATGCACAGCTCCCCTATAGAGACAACTACACACACACACACGCAACTTGTCTGTCCTCTTTTCACACAAGACAGTTTGGCACGTTTTCACACACTGCACTCTGTTTTAGCCCAATGTGGTGACCTCAATAGCACTGTCATGCAACTGACAAGCTACTGTAACTGACTGCCCTGGAAATGGAAGAGTGTGATTGTGTGTTTGTGTGTGCGTGTGTGTGTGTTTGTGTTTATGTTTGTGTGTGTGTGTGTGTGTGTGTGTGTGAATGATTAAGAGATATAACTCTCTGAGAGAAAAGTTAAAGATTTAGAGATTTAGATTTGTAGACAAGACTCAGGGGAAAAGTCCAAAAGATGCAATGAAGTGTTTTCTCACACAAAATGATTAAGATGATCAGCTACAATGGTGCAGTCTGCTTAGCTCTGGTCCCATATCAGTTTGTGCTTTAGCTAGGTCCTCTGATGTTGGTATTGTCAAAGGAGTTGGCTTTAAAAGCGTACAGATCTGAGACCAGGCTACACTGCTTGAAACAATCACAAAATAATCAACCACTCATAGCGGTCAAAGATAGGAACATTTGGTCACAGTGCAGAGTGATTCATGACATGCGACTGATATGTATGCAATTTTAATTTGCACAACGTGTAATTATTTTGCAGGGTTTCATTTCACAAAGGCGGTTGACTATGTGGTTGTAACTTAGTGAAGAAGAAACTACCACTGTTCTGTATTCTCACACCCACACGCTGTCACCCAGGCCTGTTTATTAAACGCTGACAACCTCATACTGTAACTACGCACATACGCACACACTCACACACGCGTGGACACACAAAGTATCTTGAACTCAGTGAAATGGCGTTGCCACAAATAGATATTGAGACGAGCGAGATGCAAGACTTCAACTCTCACACAGTCACACACAGTATATGTGCATGGGTTCGCGTCAAGCTGTTATAGCACGGTAGCCAGGGCACCAAAACAGCGGAACACTCTTAGTTGTTGCGTAAATTAACCCACTAATATGTTTACTTTCTGCATCTACACCATATCACTGAGTCTACCTTTAAGTTATTATTGATTTGTTTGAGGTATTCATTTTGATAATATTAATTATATAATAATGTACACAATGATGACTGTACAAAATGTGTATCTGTCTATTTACCACTGAGGGCAGGAACCCACAGGAAGTGGTGCTGCTCGGAGGCAACAGTGGCACAAGAGAGAGGGAGTCGTGGGTTGGTGGTATTTTTTTGTTTTTTTTTGGGTGGGGGGAGTGTTAAAAACACTTCTTTATGCTGCAGTATAATTATCCTATTTAGATTTTGAAGCCCCAGATAGTGTAGACCTGCTGCTGCAGGGTTGTTGTGATTGTGTATGGTCAGCATTTATATATTTTAGGCAAAGAATGTGAAAAATAACCAGGAACAGAAACATTTGAAGCTTGATGAAGATGTACTTTATCTACACAAAAAAAAAACTGTTAGAAAACACTTTTGATACACGTTTTAAATAGCCACTTACAAACAAGCTTACTCAGTGTAAAATGTATAATTCAAGAGAATGGCAATTTAATGTGCATTGCATTCATGGTGTTTGTTTTTGACACCGTTGATGTCGTCATGTTTGTCGCTGAATTATGAATGTTTAGCATTAACACCATCTTAAGTTAACACACATTATCATCTTGTACATCCTGTCCCTTTGAGTTGCCTCTTCAATTCCACATATATGGTTTCTGTATCTATGTGTGAAATCTGTAAACAGACAGTAGGCCTACTTATGTGGTAAATTACCACAGGGTTCAGGCAATCAGATGTAGTTTGTTTAAACGTCATCTCTCTCTACCATGAAATGTATCACTGTCTTACAGGTGCAGGTTCTCAGCATCTGTGAAAGCTCTCACCGACGCTGCTCTGTCTGCCGACAAGGGGGATTTATCCAAGTAGAAACTTCAAAGTTCTAGAACAGCACCTTGTTTTAAAAACATAGATAACATTTCTGTATAACTCCAATGCTAAAAGACCCATAGTCCTAGTACCGGGGTGTGGGTAAAATCACTGGGGAAGCCAAGCCATTTTTACAACCTATGTTGTGATAATTACATTGTTTGCTCTATAATCTGTTAGTTCATATGCCTTGTGACCGTGATATATTGGTCTAAGGCCGGGACAATAAGACACAGTGGCTGAATAAAATCAACCACACCTTTGTTATTTCACAAAACATGAGAGCAACATCTGCCCGGTGATTACCTCTCACTTTCAGTTATTTGAAAAGGAAATAATCTCCCAAATATCACTATTTCTAAAACAAGCCATAGAAAGTTGGTTGCAATTTCAATTGAATCCTCCAGAAACGACAGAACAAATAATGCAACAAATATTGTGGTTAAACTCAAATATACTAATTCATAAAAAAAACTTTTTTTTTGGACAAAAAAAAAAAAGGTATAATCTTCGTAAATGATATCATCAGTAGGACTGGTGGAGTTATGTCGCACATGCAGCTAACAAAAACATAAGGAAATGTCTGCTCTACCCAAAATTACAACCAAATAATTGCAGCATTAACGCAAAAATGGAAGAGGAAAGTGGAAGGAGGAGAAAGTAAGGCACTTGTCTGTCGGCCTTGCATTAAAGAACATAATTGGTTAAAGAAAACTGTGATAAATAAAAAAGTATACCAGTTTAATTTAAGGACCAAAGGATTGACAGCCGTCTCATATAGTTTGCAAAATAGTTGGGAAGAGATTTCTGACGTACCGATCCCATGGCATAGTGTTTATGAACTGATACGCAAAACGACGCCAGATTCAAAACTTAGAATTTTTCAATTAAAATTATGTAAAATTCTTGCTACCAATAGAATGTTATTTATATGGGGGATATAATCTTCCCAGCTCTGCAGATTTTGCTGCGAAGAGACAGAATCATTAGATCATTTGTTTTGGTACTGTCCATTTGTAGCTTGTTTTTGGACACAGGTCCAGGAATGGCTAAAGGATTGCAATATTTACCTGGAGCTAACCCTGCAGATAGCATTACTGGGTGATCTGAAAAGTCATAGTCAATCGATCAATAATATAATAATACTTTTAGCAAAGATGTTTATTTTCAATTTACAATCTGTAGAAACAATGAGAATAGAAAGGTTCAGAACTTTTGTAAAACATCACAGTAGAGTTGAAAAATATATGGCAAATAGAAATCCAATATGGATGGTGTTAAGAGATAGATGGGTGGTGTTGAATGGAGTTGAAGGATGGGACTAATAACAACTAACAACAACAAGATAACTAATAATGTAAGCATACTGTGTCTATAATAAGTATATAGGTTATAGGTTGAGAGCTTTTGTGAAAGAGCACAGTTAGAAAGATATGGCATATCGAAGAGGTTGAGGGTAGAGGAAGTTCAGGAGTAAAAACAAACAAAATAGAATTATTGTAAAATTGACTGTGTCCATAAAATGTATATAGTATGTATAAGCTGGAAGTAGAGGCCTAAGCATTGTTGTTCACTAGTTTACTCCAATTAGGGAAGGGGTGGTGGGGTTGGAAAGTAATAAAGGGACATTTATATTTTTTTAAAGGTTATGTATATGTATGTATATATATATATATATATATTTTTTTTTTTTTTTTTTTTTTTTTATGAGAGAAAAAACATATGGGGGATTGGAAGTGATGCAGACAGTTACATTGATGGAAGTTACAATCTATCTGCAATATTAAAGCTGATCTACCCCCTAAAAAAAAAGAAGAAGAAAATAAATCAATCTGCCCGGTGGAGTCCACAAAGCATATCCCATGTAACAAACAGTTCCATGACCTACAGCATGGTCAATCAAGTTAATGAGGGTAAATCACAGAATAAAAGGGTTTATTCCCAAAACACAGCGGTACGCAGCAATGCGTCAAACACTCCAGTGCGTAAATCAGGTGCACTGGGAAACAACAAGGCATTCGGGTGAAATATCCCGGCGATACAAAAATACAAGGAGCTCCACCGAGCTAAACTAACATCCACAATAAACAATCACACACAAAGACAAGGGGGCAGAGGGAACACTTATACAGGTACTGATGAGGGGATATGAACCAGATGTGTGTAATAAACAAGACAAAACAAATGGAATGATGAGATGAGGAGCGGCAGTGGCTAGAAGGCCGGTGACGACGAACGCTTGACACTTTTTTTTGGTGCACCAGGACCATTCACAGCTGAGCTCACTCAGTTTAGCTCAACACTGATTGGCTATTTTTTTATTTAAAAAATTATCAAGGGAGGCCAAATGCTCGCTGGCTTCCCTTGTATTCAGTGCTACAGGAGGCAACAACATCATACTCCTTTTGACCAGACAGCATCAGATAGATGGCTACACATACAGAGACAGAGGGGCGCTGTTTCGCTTCGCTCGGAGATACTGTAAATTCCGGCACTTGCGAATTGAAGGAAAATTATGAAACACACAGACACGAAAGATAAATTATTATATATATATTTTTTTTTGGGGGGGGGGGGTCAATGTTTTGTGGAATCCTGCCTTCCTTTGGCATCCATGAATACATGCCACTGCATAGTCCGAAACTTCAGTATGAGAACCAACTGATTGCACATGGATGATCCAATAACTTAACACAATGGGTGCTAGCTTAGCTTAGAACTACACTTTATAAATTCAATATCGCCACCATTCTATATCTTGGCAGTATATAGAACGTCCTTTAATACGATTTTACCAAAACAAGTGGCGGCCAGCGGGGTGACGGATTTGTTGTTTTTCCAATCCCAGACTGTAGCTTTAAAACTTTAAGTGTTGACGGGTGCTCTGGAGTTGTTCCCCTCAGAGTTCTGACTGTTGAGTGGGAACATCCTCGTCATGGCGTCCATATCCACCTTCCTCCTGAACGTCTCTGTGGTGAAGTAGTAGGCAAGTGGGTCCAAAATGGCGTTCAGACAGGCCACCATTAGGCTATAGTGGTATACCGACAGTAGGGAGCACGGTACCGCTTCCCTATGGACATAGAGGAGTGCCAGAGTCCCATGGTAGGGCAGGAAGCAGGCCAGAAATATCACCAGGCTGGTGGCGATCATCCTCTGGATCTTCCCAGAGTTGATAAGGTCTGTCTGCGCTACAGCGCTTCTTGTGATGGCATGTATCAACGCCCAGGAACAGACCAACATCACCACCAAGGGGATGCCGAAGCCGACGGTTAGTGTCGAGGCGACCGCCGTGGTCTGTGTGGCGTAGACCGGAAAGCTCCCGAAACAGCGGTCCACCTGGATCTCCTTGGATGCCTTGCTACGTTTCAGCCGAAAGACAGACAGAGAGAAAGGGAGAGAGAGGGGATGAGGGAGAGAGAGAGAGGGGGGAAGAGAGAAAGAGAGAGAAAGGGAGAGAAAAAGGGGGCGAGAGAGAGAGGGAGGAAGAGAGAGAGAGGTGGGGAGAGAAAGAGAGAGAAAGGGAGAGAGAGGGATTATAAAAGGATATATAAATGATACAGGGTTGGGTCTGATGTGATGTTATAGACCACTTTCTGTGTTTGCAAACATTGCTGCATGATGGCGATGTGCGCAAGTTGGTGGCAGAACAAGGGGGAGTTCTTATAGAACGCCAGCAAAAAAAGCCTCTATTTACATGTTGCTAATGGGTGCATTTCACACTGCTTTTGGATTATAATTGGATTTTAATGCTCGTATGAATGTCCTGCTTAATATAATGTTTGTGTCATCATCGCAAAGCAACTGCATTATACTTAAAAAACACTTCAACTTCAACCAGTAAAATGGCTCTTTAGCTAGCTTTTGCTACAGCTTATATCAATGAGCGTTAGCATTCTAGCTAACAACTGCTGCATCCAAAATAGTTATTTTGCAAAGATCAGAACCAAATATAATCTTAGCGACTGCTCAAGCAAGAATACAAATATCATCGTAAGCGCATGAGAACTCCAAAAAGTTATTTTGTTTAGAAGTAATAAAAAAGTTAATCTAGGCTGTGTTGAATGGATGGCGATGGCTTTCTTACTGCTGCCAAGAGTCACGCGCATCTGTGTGTGACGTAAATGTGTCATGTACTGGAAAAGGGTCTATAGGGCAATGAGTTTTTGTGACCTGACCAGGAGAATACCTGGGTCCTAGTTGCCTGACCAGGATAATATCTGGGTCCTAGTTGACCTGACCAAGAGAATACCTGGGTCCTCCCTGACATGACCAGGAGAATATCTGGGTCCTAGTTGACCTGACCAGGAGAATATCTGGGTCCTAGTTAACCTGACCAGGAGAATAACTGGTCCTAGTTGACCTGACCAGGAGAATATCTGGGTCAAAGTTGTACCTGCGTTTGGAGATGTAGATGGGGAGGCTGGCTCCGATGGTAAGCCCCCACACACCGAGGCAGACCAGCGGGGCTTTCTTTCGGCCCTCCCGAACCCGGCAAGACATGGGGAAACACACAGCTACACAACGGTCGAAACACATGCAGGTGAGGAGAAAGATGCTGCCATACATGTTGACCAGCAGAACCAGGCCCACCCCTGGAATAAATGCATTAATGAATCTATGAATCAATGAATGAATGCATGAATGGAGGAAAATAAAACCTTTACTGCCCCAATGGGAATTAGTTTTACACGTCATAAGAAAAGCAATTAATATTATCTATATAAAAAAACATCACACGGACAGACAAAACAGAGAGTGCAACATTTAACATTCAACTACAAAAATCCTAGGTTGTAGATTCCTAGAAAAATACCAAAAGCCTAGTCAATATTCAAATATTTACAATAGCCTGAGTGCCAGTCTGTTTGTGCTATTATTCCAAATCATTGTGACTCATTGTCGTGCTTAACATGTTTGGCTTGACAATGACATCAATGAGTTGACATGATAGCACAAACAGATATTGTGACTAAGCTAACATAACAGCATAGAGTCAACCTTTATCTTCACACAGGACCTGAGGTAACCCGGACAAGCCTTTACCTTCAAACAGGACCTGATGTAACCTGGACAAACATATACCTTCACAAAGGACCTCGGGTAACCTGAACAAGCTTTTACCTTCACACAGGACCTGAGGTAACTGAGGTAACTCAGACAAGCCTTTACCTTCACACAGGACCTGAGGTAACTGAGGTAACTCAGACAAGCCTTAACCTTCACACAGGACCTGAGGTAACTCAGACAAACCTTTACCTTCACAGAGGACCTGAGATAACCCATGCATCCCCAGATGGTAGTAGATCCTCAGGGGCAGAGTCAGGACCAGGAGGAGGTCTGCGATGGCTAGGTTGATCATGTAGACAGTGGTGTGAGACCACGACTTGGTGTAGCAGAAGAACACCACCAGTGCTGTGAGAATAATCATGAGAAAAAATCAAATGGATATATTGTAACATAATGAAGGCGCAGCATTGTATTGGCGTGCCTGTCTGGCTACTAAAGACATGCCATTCAGACATAAAACAAAGCTTCAGTTGCAATTTAAGTGAGTTATGGCCTGCTCCAAATGCCTTTTCATTGATATAGGCAAGAAGATGATAATTTAGGCACATTCTGTCCCTATACCTGTGAGGTTGAGGATGAGGCCAACCATGAAGACCATGGAGTAGACCCCGACAAAGATCCAGTTACTCTGGGGCTCTGTGCAGTTATGAGTGGTGTTGATGGTCATGGCTACTTTTTTTGTTGTTTCTGAGGAGAGAGAGGGAAAGAGAGAGAGACAGAGAGAGACAGAGAGAGAGACAGAGAGAGACAGAGAGAGAGAGAGAGAGAGACAGAGAGAGACAGAGAGAGAGAGAGAGAGAGAGAGAGAGAGAGAGAGAAGAGAGAGAGAGAGAGAGAGAGACAGAGAGAGACAGAGAGAGAGAGAGAGAGAGAGAGAGAGAGAGAGAGAGAGAGAGAGAGAGAGAGGGCGGGCGGGCGGGCGGGAAAGAGACTGATTAGCAGGCTATAGAAATGATCCAGGATTGTGTCTGTTATGATGTTATAGGACCAAGAGTATTTTCTGACCATGTTTCCTGAGCAGGAACAACTCTGGACCCTATAGTTGTACCCTACTTTAGGGCATCCTCTCCTTCTAATATGGGACTAATCCAGAACTGGGACACCAGGTGAGTGCAATTAACTACCAGGTAGAAACACAAAACAGAAGTGTTTGGGCCCTCCAGGACCGCAAATGAACAGAAGAATCCCAAAATCCCATCCTGTCCTCTGCAGATGCCAACCAAGGCGATTGCACAGAGATGGGAGATAGGGTGAAAGAGAGAGAGGTGTCAAAACCAAGACATCCAATGAGGTGGGCTTCCTGAAGTACAACGCCACTGAGCGAAACAAGTGTGAAAGCCTTGCTGTCTGTCTGATTCTTTCTCCATTCCCCTCTTTCCTCTCTCTCTTTCTTTGTCCTTTCTCAATTTCTCTCTTTCTTCATGTCTCTGTCTCACACTTGCAAAACACCTTTTCCTGTCCTGATCTGTATTGTACCGGTCCTCTGTAGTTATTGTGAAATAGGCACCATTTCCCTAACCGTCTGTCTGCGTATTTTTTGCCTGTCTCAATTGTATCCCCTGGTCGACACTACACAAAGACTGCAAATGGCACCCTATTTAGTTTGGGCTTTGGTCAAAAGTAGTGCACTATAAGGGAATAGTGTGCCATTTGGGAGGCTGGGATGCAGAACTATTTTCACTGTTGTCGTCTTATGCATGCAAAGAGGGTAAAACTGCTGATGAAATAAGGAAGCTGAACAGCCAGTCGGTGAGGGAGGAAGTTCTTTTTAACGCTTCAAAGATTTGTGTCTGACAGACTGATAGACCCTGCTCGTGTACCAGAACCTCTATCATATTTCAGTTTCAGATATTAATTTTGCCTTCACCAAAGAGGAACAAGAAGTCGTTTTGTCCACTTTTATTCTGACTTCTGTGAAAGCTAAATAAATGCCTTCATTGATCAAATCAAATCAAATCAAATTGTATTTGCCAAATGCGCCGAATAAAACAGGTGTAGACATTACTGTGAAATGCTTACTTACAGCCCTTAACCAACAATGCATTTATTTCTTAATAAAAAAGTAAAATAAAACAACAACAACAAAAAAGTGTTGAGAAAAAAAGAGCAGAAGTAAAATAAAATAACAGTAGGGAGGCTATATATACAGGGGGTACCGGTGCAGAGTCAATGTGCGGGGGCACCGGCTAGTTGAGGTAGTTGAGGTAATATGTACATGTGGGTAGAGTTAAAGTGACTATGTATAAATAATTAACAGAGTAGCAGCAGCGTAAAAAGATGGGGTGGGGGTGCAAATAGTCCGGGTAGCCATGATTAGCAGTTCAGGAGTCTTATGGCTTGGGGGTAGAAGCTGTTGAGAAGCCTTTTGGACCTAGAGAAGCCTTTTGGACCTTTTGGATGTCTCTATGGAAGGCGTGAAACTACATTTCCCCAGTAAAAGCAAAAACAGACACATGGCTGCTAGCATTGCAGAACATTTGAGAAATGAATATCTAACGTTATGCGTATATCTTTTGAAAATATATTTTATTTCTTTGTGCATGTAATTGTTTTGTAATGTACATAGCACATTTGCATTCACTATTCAGTCACCTCAATTGCAATGGTATCTGTAACTGTATTTTCTACGAGAGAGAGAGTAAAACAAAAAAACTCTGCATGAAGCCTTCTCACTCCCTCCATTTTCTCCTTCTCTCAATAACAGTAGTCGAGGCACAATTACACACACAGGTGACCAAGTTATCCTGCTACCCCGTCTGTTATTGGTGTAGTCAGGAAGCATCATTGATGTTTGGAAGGATACAGTCACAGTACCAGTGTGAAGTGGATGTGATGTTGATATGAACACACGCAGACTAGATTAATACACTGTGGGATATTCTGAGGAACACTCACCTGTTTGATGCTTGTGAGTGGGTATTTTGATTGCGATTGTCTTGAGTTCCAAATACAGTTCCTTTGTCAGGAAATGAAAGCATGAGGGATGATGAGGCCCCTCTGTCTCTCTCTCTCTCTCTCTCTCTCTCTCTCTCTCTCTCTCTCTCTCTCTCTCTCTCTCTCCCCCTCTCTCTCTTCTTGTTTTCTCTATCCGTCTCTCTCTCTTTCGCTTCTCTCACTCTATCCATATCTGTGTTACTGAATGTATGTCTCTCTGTATGTGACATGACTGACACTGTTTCTTTTCTGCATTTATAGGGGGAAGCTCTCGATATATTCACACAAACCACACACAAACACTCACACACTCTGTTACAGTCCATATAAAGGGCCTGCACTGACACTCTGCCAGAAAAAGCCACTGACTTTTACGTGACTGGAAAGAGAAGGAGAGGGCATTTAAATTCACATGACAAGGCTACTGTTAATCATGACATTGCTATAATTTGGTTAAGAAAAACAATGTTTTTAAATCTATGAAATATTTTTGTGTACATCCGATTTGAACATTATCCGTATTAAAATACTTTTAATTTGAACGTTTTATTACATATATTATTTAGGCTAACATTTCGAAAACCTTCGACCAAACCAGAAAAAATATTTTCTACAGTTATTACAATGTAACAAATAACAGTTACAATGTACTTTACTCCCACTAAGAGTTGTATACCTTACCCTAACGAATCTCGGTACGGACCTCGTGGCGCAACGGTAGCGCGTCTGACTCCAGATCAGAAGGTTGCGTGTTCAAATCACGTCGGGGTCAAATTATTTTACTCAGATTATCTTTCCCTTGTAAACTGTATGGAATACCATCGATTCATTTTTGCTGTGATTACGTTATGAATGGTGATACGAATGGTGATAAAACATATATCAATTATATTGAATAAACTCCAACTGTGAGCATATCATCTATTTACAATTTAGCCTATACTATTTCGATGAAAAAAAGTATAACAACCAAATCAACGTTTATTCATCACTTATACAGGATACAGCAAGCAGGTGTAAATGGTACTGTGAAATGCTTAGGAGGAGCTAGCAAAGCTGGCACCTTCTCCATCAGCGCGATCTTGTATATCAGGGTGTATCAAAAACAAGTGGTCCACAACAATGTGTTTTTTAAGGCTGTAATATGTATTGTCAATTAGTGTAATATTGTGGAGTGACATTTCATAAACATTTCGAACTTTAACTCTTATTCTACTAGAACAAAGTCCCTCTCTCTATGGACCTTGAGTTTGTCCACTAGACCAACTGTCAAAAAGGGAGATGTATTGATCTATTGTCATGTACTGGGTTGGGGGTTTCTCCATGGGTTGTTTACAGTATATAGGCTTAGACATACTAGAACAGACAAAGTCCCTGCTCTGTGGATCTTGGATGGCACACAGTGTCATAAATAGTTTAGTTTTTTAGGATCCCAATTAGCTGTTGTAAATGCAGTAGCTACTCTTCCTGCATGGGGTCCAAAAGATAGATATATCTGTGTATCTATCTCTCTGGGTAGCCTACACACAACTTGGCGACAATGGAAACTGCTGGAGTTGTTTCATGTATAGAACACGGATAAATGGCAGGTATGCGGTATCTGTGTATTAATCAGAACACTGGGGTCATTCACCATAGCTACTGATAAGAAGTAATCTAGTGTTATGGCTGGGGGATTCGGTGTGTGCTTCATCTGCTTGTCTGTGAGTGTGTGTGCGTGTGTGCATGAGTACACGAGTGTTAGGAGTAGGCTTGTGTGTATGAGTGTGTGTTTCCATGGTGTGTGTGTGTGTGTGTGTGTGTGTGTGTGTGTGTGTGTGCTTGTCAAGTGTATACACTCCAACTGTGAACATATTGTTTACTTACAATTTAGCCTTCAAATATTTTCATGAGAAAAGAATAACTAGGACATGTCAAAAACAAAATAAAGAAGAAGAAGAAACTAAAACATTTTTCAGTCTTTATTACAAAATAAAACAAATTCAAATCTGCATAGAATTCAATTAAAACATGAGAAACATACAATTGACAGAACAAGCAAATGTCATACCTATACAAACGTGACTATAGGCTACATATTACAATCACTGATGTGTTTTAATAGCCTACACTAAGCAGTCTAGGTATATTATAAATAGGCCCCAGAGCAAAGATAAAGTGAATATAACCACTCTTCAATAACCATTCATTCCTCTTGATGAAGGATAGTATAAGGGTGGGGTTGCTGCGGTCAGCTCTTTACGGTCCTCAAGTGGTCGTGGTTGAAAAATGGTCACAGTCGATGGTCATCATGGATCATCACATTTCCTACTGGCAGGAGATAAAGGTCAAAGGTTAGGTGAACACTTTCTTTCTTACTCCCTCCCCCTCCCTCCCCCTCCCCCTTCTCTTCTCACTCTCCCCCTCCCCCTCCCCTTCCCCCTCTCTCACCTCCTTTCCGCCACAGGTACCACAGATGCATCCGAACAGTCCGTTGACCATCTGTATTCCACACAGCACCAGCTCCAGGCTGGCAGCCACCAGTAGAGTGGCAAACAGGCCGATGTTAAACTGCACAACATCCTCTGGCTCTTTACAAGTCTTCCAGAGTTCACTATCGCCCAGGTAATTGCCGCTGCTGCAACGATGAACAATCAAGCAATCATTCAATCAATCAAGCAAGCAATCAATTGTATTGATATTTTTACATCGGCAGGCATCATAAAGTTATTTACAGTAGCCAGGCATAGTATCCAAAGAGATATAAATAATAATAGTTGTGTTATCATTAAAAAGCAGTATTTGACCTCAATGGGACTACCTGGTTAAATAAAGCTGGGGAAAAAGTTATAAAAATACGTACTTGTTCATGAAGGGCCTCCCCCAATTTGGAACTGTTTCACCTGGAGCCAAGAATAAGCAGACAGGCCCGTTGGCCAGGACCAGGGCAGACGTAGCCAAACTGTACAGCGCTCCAACAACCCCAGCAGCAGCAAACCCAATGGACAGGAACATCTGAAAAGAAGAGACACAGACAGGGGTCAGAGGTCAGAGAGGTTAGGGAGGAGGTCAGGGGAAGAGAAGGGAGATTTTATTGTAGATGTTAGCTTTTTTGTGTGTATTTACCACCTGGAAAATAGGTTTTGTTCTTAATTAGGCTTCTACAAACTCGTTTTAAATATAGGATGACAAATACATCTAATCCAAGGCTGGTGTGTTTCTGACCCAAGAGTTTATGTTAGATTGGTTCCTTGAGTAATCTAAAACTTTTTACAAATGTGCTTTCATTGGGAAATTAGACTGACCCATAATGTAACATTGTGGGCCAACATCAGACAGAACCATAAACAGACAGTTTGTTATCTCCTGACATTACACACGTAGAGGGTGGTGAAGTGATTATAATATGACATTTAGCAGACACTTTTTTCCAAAGCCACTTACAGTCATGTGTGCATACATTTTTTACATATGGGTGGTCCCGGGGCTCAAACCCACTACCTTGGCGTTACAAGCGCCATGCTCTACCAATTGAGCTACAAAGGACCGCAAGGTGTCAAGGTGTTTTTCGTTATTGCACTATTGTGATGAATTTATAATACACAAGCTGTCATTGGCCCACCCATAGGCCCAAACCACCACCCTCATGTTGTGTGGTGCAGTAGAGAGAATGAAACTGATACAGGTTTAGATATTTACTCATCCCTTTAATGGTTAAGGTTAGGATTGGGGGGAGGGTAATCTGATCCTAGATCTGTGGTTAGGGGACTGTTGTTCGACTTACCCCACAGCGGTTGGCACAGCAACCATTACTGCTGGTCAGGTGGATGTGGATGGCTGGAATAAGGCACTAAAGATATATATATATATATATATATATATAGAGAGAGAGAGAGAGAGAGAGAGAGAGAGAGAGAGAGAGAGAGAGAGAGAGAGAGAGAGAGAGAGAGAGAGAGAGAGAGAGAGAGAGAGATAAAACACTTCTTCACAATTATTTTGTCTTGGAGTAGCATATTGAGACAGCATATTTCACATGTATAGATCCATTCAGCATTCAGATGAATTTACACTTAGGAAACTGTTGATCATGAAAAGGGTACATTTTATTGTATTTTTATACATCTAAAAATGACTACACAAACCTGTGATCATGGTGTGACCAATTGTCTATAGAATCAGCATGTCTAAACCAAGATTGGGGTCAATTCCATTTCAATTCAGTCAATATTGTTTTTCAATAAGGAACTTTGGAGTTGAAATTTCAGTTCATTTTCTGAATTAAAATGGAACTGACCTAAACACTGGTCTTCTAAACCAATCATGTTACATAATGTTCAAAATTAAACCAATCATGTCACGTAATGGCCAAAATTAAACCAATCATGTCACATAATGTTCAACATTAAACCAATCATGTCACATAATGGTCAAAATTAAAAGAATCATATTGTAGTATGGTCAAAATTAAACTAATAATGTTAGGTAATGGTCAAAATGAAACCAACCATGTTACAAAATGGTCAAAATTAAACTCACCATGAGTCCGCCACCGATGAACCCTCCCATATATTTAACCTCATCTGTGATCCGGTCTCCCTTCCCTTCTCTTTCTTCCTCAGCGTAATTCGTCTTCCAGCCGGGGAAGAACGCAATGATGTTACAGATGATTGAGACCCCCGCCAAGATGTAGAGCGGGATCGCGATGACTTTAGAGCACTTTCCTGTACACATGTTGCTGGTTGTACGGTTTCTTCAACGTTGAAAAGCTCAAGAATGTTGCGTAGATAATTCAAGACTCTATTTGGTTTCCTCGTAGAAAGAGATATGAGAAGAATTCAGAAGTTGAAAATAATTTCTAGACTACTCCTCCTTCGCTCTCTTCTCAGCCTAGGTCTAGCATGGGTCTAGTGATGGAGGCGAAGCTACTTAAATCCTGAGGTGAAGGTTAGCTCGGTAGAGGAGGGGTTAGTTAGGCGATAAGACTGGCTCCACACCCCAGTGATTACATCACTACATCACCTTTAGTTGGCCTGAGCGTTGAGTCATAAAACAGGATTATTTTCGTCCACTTTGTATTTAACCGCTATTTATCAAGGAAGTTCCATTGAGGGCAGAAGACCTCTTTTAGGAGGGAGACCTAGAACAAGAGGTCAGCTCAATAAAGAAACACATACAGTGTGTATAGAGTTAGCTGTTCTAGAACAAAGCCGTTCTATGTATGCCAGAAGGTACCAGGTTAAGAGCATTATCTATTTGATTTAAACCTTTATTTAACTAGGCAAGTCAGTTAAGAACTAATTCTTATTTACAATGACGGCCTACCAAAAGGCAAAAGGCCTGCGGGGACGGGGGCTGGGATTAAAAATAAAAATATAGGACAAAACCACATCACGACAAGAGAGACACCACAACACTACATAAGGAGAGACACCACAACACTACATAAAGAGAGACACCACAACACTACATAAAGAGAGACACCACAACACTACATAAAGAGAGACCTAAGACAACAACACAACATGGCAGCAACACAACATGACAACAACACGGTAGCGACACAACATGTCAACAACACGGTAGAACACAACACGGCAGCACAACATGGTAGCAGCACAAACATGGTACAAACATTATTGGGCACAGACAACAGCACAAAGGGCAAGAAGGTCGAGACGGCAATATTGGCAAGTAACTGAAAGGTCGATGCTTTGAATCCCCTATCTTAAAATTATGTAAATTTATGTTGGGTTGGTACACTCCAGTCATTAATGCAGAGAGAACAGGGTTGGGGTTGCTTCACAGGTTGTCTCCTCCACACAGATGTATTTGAACAGACTATATGGATATAGGTTGGTACAGTCATAAATTAATGTTATATCTATTGCTCTGGGTAGGCTACACCCAATATGGTGGGCCAATGGAAACTGCTGGAGTTGGTGTAGAATTTCGATGTGGCACAGAGTTCCAATGTGAAAACGGTCAATAAATTGAACATTCCAAATGGAAAATCAGATATGGACTCTTGTATTGGCTGCGGCACCCACCTCGGAACCTTTCTCATTCGGAACATTCACTGCTGTTCCACTCATTTTCAATTCAATGCTGATCTATCCATTGGTAGAAATGTTCCTGTTGAAGTTGTATATGTTAGGTGGCTAATCACTTTTAGTGGTTCAATTTGTTCAAACATCTGTAAACTTGGTAATGTCACATTTTCAACCCTGTGACATGTTCTGGAATCTGAACAGTGATAATAATGCTCAGTTTAGTAATTCAATTTGATTAAAATGTTGTCCAATGGGTAACCTTTACCTGAAGATACTCCAGAGTGTACCTATAGTTTTAGGGTATGCAGTATCTGTGTTTAATCAGAATACTATGGTCCATCACCATGGCTACTGATAAGCCGGGGGAGGGTTGGGGGATTGGGTGTGTGTTTAATCTGTGTGTCTGTGAGATGTATAATGTGACGTCAGAATCTGTGTGTCCTTGACAAGTGTGGCTATGTGTGTGTGTGTGTGTGTGTGTGTGTGTGTGTATGTTTGAACTCTGGACCCTACCTCCCGCTCATCAGAGTAGGGAACCATAATTCACTGATACAACCATATCAGACAAACACACACGCAAATGACGACCATAAACCATGATGGGAAAAACTGACAAGACCCTTGACATCCTATCACAGACCAAGAACACAGTTAGGCCGTAAGGCACTTTTAAGAACATACTTTAATCCAGGGGGAAAAGTCCTGGCAGCAAAATATTGTTTTCAACCAATCATGACAAGGTGAAATTTCATTCAATACAGTTAGTTCTTCACTGTAAGATTTTACATTTGGATTATTGTAAGTATGTCATCAATACCATATAAAGTGGAATTTACAGGGCCGGTTTCCCGGACGCAGGTTAAAACTAATCCATAAAAAGCATGCTCAAGTGAGAACCTCCCATTGAAATAGCTTTTTAGTTGAGGACTAGGCTTAATCTGGGTTTGGGAAACCACCCCACAACAGTACAATCGTTCACACAGACATGCTGGCTTCTGTCTCTTGCTGTGTGTTCGTGTGCCTGATTGGGTGCATGCGTGTGTGGGACCATAGCTCATAACAAATTTTAGTTCAATTATGGGATTCCCCCCCCCCCCCCCCCCCCCCCCCCTTTGATTCACCGTTTCCACCTGCCCATTAGACTCGGGGTGAAACCCAGAGGTCAGGCTGACCGAGACCCCCAGATGTTCCATGAACGCCTTCCAGACCCTTGATGTAAACTGGGGACCCAGGTCAGACACTATGTCCTCTGGCACACCATAGTGCTGGAAGACGTGAGTAAACAGGGCCTACGCAATCTGCAGGGCCGTGGGGAGACCGGGCAGAGGAAGGAGGCGACAGGCTTTAGAAAAGCGGTCCACAACGACCAGGATGGTGGTGTTACCCTGAGAGAGGGGAAGATCAGTAAGAAAGTCAATACACAAGTGGGACCATGGCCGTTGTGGCACTGGTAAGGGATGTAACTTACCCGCTGGGAGGTGCCTACGTGCCTTACTCTGGGCGCACACCGAGCAGGAGGAGACATACAGCCTCACGTCCTTAGCCAAGGTAGGCCACCAGTACTTTCCGGTCAGGCAGCGCACTGTACGGCCGATACCTGGGTGACCAGAGGAGGGGTACGTGTGTGCCCAATAAATCAGACGGTCACGGACAAGAGACGTCACGTACTGCAGCCCAGCTGGGCACTGAGGTGGAGATGGCTCTGCATAATGCCTGCTCTATGTCCGCGTCCATCGCCCACACTACCGGCGCCACAATGCAGGAGGCTAGGAGTATAGAGGTGTTGTCTATGGGCCTCTCCTCTGTGTCGTACAGCCGTGACAGTGCATCTGCCTTCACGTTCTTCGTACCCGGGATGTAAGACAGTGTCAAATCAAACTGGGTGAAGAATAGGGCCCACCTGGCCTGGCGAGGGTTCAGCCTCCTCGCTGCCCGGATGTACTCCAGGTTACGGTGGTCCGTCCAGACAAGGAAAGGGTGTTTCGCACCCTCGAGCCACCACACGGTCAGGGCTCTGACGTCGTAGTTCTGCTCCGCCGGGCTGAGCTTCTTGGAGAAGAAGGCACAGGGGCGGAGCTTGGTTGGCCCTATCCCTACCTCGGACGCATCCACTTCCACTACGAACGGTAGTGATGGATCGGGATGGGCCAGTACCGGGGCTGAGGTGAACAGAACCCTCAGGTTACTGAAGGCCCTGTCAGCCTCAGCAGACCAGCGGAGCCGGGACGAAGCAAATCCCGAAACACCTCGTTCACAAAGGACTGGAAGACGGATGGAGCATTCATCAAACCGTACGGCATCACCAGGTATTCGTAATGCCCTGTGGTTGTGCTGAATGCTGTCTTCCACTCGTCCCCCTCTCGGACACGCACCAGGTTGAACGCACTCCGGAGATCTCATTTTGTGAAGAATCGCGCACTATGCAATGACTCGATTACAGATGGAATGAGGCGTATTGTCCCCTTGTTCAGTGCTCGGTAAACAATGCACGGGCACAGAACTCCGTCTTTCTTCTTCACAAAAAATAAACTTGAGGAGGCGGGCGAAGTGGAGGGACGTATGAACCCCTGGCACAGGGACTCGGAGACGTATGTCTCCATCGCCTCCGTTTCAGCTTGCGACAGGGGATATACATGACTCCTGGGAGGCACAGCGTCTACCCGGAGGTTTATCGCACAATCCCCCGCCCGATGAGGTGGTAATTTGGTCACCTGTGTTTTGGAAAACGCAGGCTCCAAACCGAGGTATTTGGGGGGAATGCGCACGGAAACAGCTAGACACCTACGCTGACACTCTCACGATCACCCCGTGAGAACCCTCTGCGGCCATGAAAAGGTGGGGTTGTGTAGTGCTAACCAGGGAAGACCCAACACAACTGGGAAATCAGGGGACTCAATAATAAAAAAGGTGACTTGCTCTCTATGGGTCTCGTGCGTAACCATTGTGACTGGTGCTGTAACTTCCCTAATAAACCCTGACCCCAATGGTCGACTGTCAAGTGCTTTGATGGGCAGTGGAATGGATAGGGGAACCAATGGAATACCTAGACTATGCCCTAACGACCTGTATATAAAAGTCCCAGCTGCGCCTGAATCGACCAGCGCCTTACACTGGGAAACTACTGTGTAATCAGGGAAGGTGACGTGTATGGTGCAGTGCGCAGCAGAGGGCTCTGAACGAGTGTGGGTTTGCGCTACCTGGGGTGACGCGAGAGTGCCCTGCCTGCCGCCTCCAGACCCGGAAGAACCCTGACGACAGTGTGCAGCCGAATGTCCTCTCCTGCCACAAGAATGACACTGGAGCTGTCGTCCTCCATTCTCCCGGATCGCTGCACCACCCAGCTCCATCGGAACTGAATCCGGGTTGAGGGGGGGTAAAACAGGCAGGCCCCTTCCAGGATGTCCTCTTGAAGCTAGCAGGTTGTCCAACCGGATGGCCATGTCCACCAGCTGGTCGAAAGTCAATATGGTATCCTGGCAGGCTAGCTCCCTTCGGACGTCCTCTCGCAGGCTGCACCGGAAACGGCCGCTAGAGTATGAAACTCCAGGGCAAAGTCCTGCGCGGTCCTCGTCCCCTGCCTCAGGTGGACCAGCCGCTCGCCCGCCTCTCTATCTTCGGGCGGGTGATCGAAGACGGCTCGCTCAGCTGGTCCCAAAGGGTCGGGTCCTCTCCTCTCCAGGCATTGGACGACCTGGAGAACCTGATCCATCGCTTTCCCAAGCTGACTAGCATCGTAGAATGCTCCCGAACCCGCGCCAGAACTCCAGGTAAGTGCTCTTCTTTTGCTGACTCCATGTCTTGGTGTGTGATTCTGCGGTGAGTGATTTTGACGGAGTCAGGCGCAGGAGGGTAAATCACTACATAAAGGGTTTATTTCCAAAACACAGCGATACGCAGCAATGCGTCAAACACTCCAGTGCGTAAAT